GGTTCGACCCCTGTCGACCCCCGGTCGAACCCATTGACCCCTGACCCCTGACCTCGGCCGAGTCACTATCCGGTCCGGTTCTGAAAACATAGGTGGTATGCTCCAGGACGGTGAACTGCCAAAAGGATCAGATATGAGGTTAATGGATTTTTACTATCAATCTTATAATTTTGTTTGGAAATATAGTCGTTATGCATAGTTAATATTTCTCAAAAGATTTAGATCTATTCTTGTAGGTTTATTACTATCTTTATTATGATGGAAATATGGTCGTCATGTATAGTTAATCTTTCTCAAAAAGTTAGATCGTTTCTTGTAATTTTCACACTATCCTTTATAATCTGTTTAGAAAAATGGTTATCCTCCATGGATCCTGAAGGATTCTGTGTCAAAGGAAAGAGGATTATAAGTTGTTTAAATTATTTAAGTGTTTAAATATTTTATAATTTAATTGTTTTGTTTATGGTTTCATCTGTTAGAACATACTTCATATCTTCTGGTTCTTCTTTAAACAGCAAACAATTAAATGATCTTCAAACCAGAATTGCTCGAATTGAGCAATCAATCCTTATTCAAAGAAAACTAGAAAACAAATCTTCTAAATTCCAGATTGACAAAGAAAAACTTAGATCTGAATTCTTTGTAAATCACAACCATTTTAAAAGAAAACAATTTTTTGACAAATATCAGGGAGAAGCCCGAGAAAATATACAAAAAAAACTTTTATGACTTTTTAAGAAAAACAAAACAAAACATTCATTTCTTTGACTAGAATGAGTCTCAAACATCTAAGGTGTCCACACCAGAACTCATAAATCCAGTCCAAACCATATCAAAACCTGCATCCTCTCTGTCAAAAATTATAGAAACCCAAGTTTTTACATCAGATCTTATAAATCCGGTCCAAACTAAGCCAAAACCCAATAGATCTATCCATAGATCTATCTCAAACAAATTCTATACAAGAATCTATAGATCTATCCATAGATCTATCTCAAACAACCCATATACTAGAATCCTCTCATAAACTTTCAGAATCCATAGATCCATCAAATCAATCCATATAAACCCAGCAGAAATAGATCTACCAAATTCGCCAGTAGATCTATCAAACCCAATAGATTTACCAAACTAAGAGTCTATTGCAACTTCGTAACTTTTGGCATCCGGTCAACCAATAAACAATTTTGACAATACCACTAGGCTTGATGAAAGAAAAGACATAGGAAATTCCTTAGACATAGGATATTCCACAATAAATGTCTTATCTAAAACTCAACCTAGTGTCAAACTTATAACTATCAAAAATCCTCAAGAAAAATTTATCGAGGAAAAAATCCAACCAATTATTAAAAAGGAAACTTCTGAAATTTCTTCTCAACCTATTACCAAGTCTATGATTATTAGAAATGCACAAACAAAAATTATTTATTCTAAAATAGAAAACCAGTTAGTTGAAACCCAATCAACTAAAGGCATAATTCAGAATTCTTTACAATTATCCTATGATTTTTCCTGTAGCAAACTTATTTCTCAGAAAAATTCAAAAGAAAATTCTGCAAACAATAATCAGGAAGAAATTCCTAAATTATCTATATATTCTTTTATAACCTACAAACAGTTGCAGCCTGATAAGGTGAAGGTACTTAATATCGAGTACCCAAGCTTCAAGGTGGAATCTTATACAGAGAAAAGATGGTTATCCAATAAATACAAGGGACAAACAGAGGAGACATGAACCTTCAACAAACTAGGAAAACAGTCTCAGGAACAAGAAGTATCTTATTTGACAAATCTGGTCAAATCTCGAATTAATATCCCAAGAAGGGTGATATTCAAGATGATCGGAAAAAAACAATATATTCAGCCTTTTTATTTCTTGAAGAATGGAATTGATCTTTCTTGAAGAATGGAATTGATCATTCCTCTGTTCAAACAAGAAATAAATGGCAAGCTATCAGACGAATCAAACGGAAAAATCATGCAAGATCTTCTTCGACAAAATTAGTCACCAAACAAAAGATTCGGGCTGAATCTTCTTCAACAAAATTGGTCATTCATGAAGTTGAGATCAGAATTGACCAAGAAGCAGCATATATCTATGCCAAGAAGATTCTTACAATCTATCTAGAAAAATGCCTCTTCAATCTTTTTACCGAATTCATCCCAAAAACTCCTCTTCCAAGTACCTGCTTTTCAAACCTTTAGACCAATCAAAAAACCAAAAGGTTAGGATTGAACAATCCTTTCTTATTTCATTACCTAAGCCAGAATTAAAAATTCAAAGAACCGCCTTGGCTAAGATCATACAAAACTTTCAAGGATCTTCTACCCTAAACAAACCATATTTGAATCCTTTCGTACAAAACATCCCAAGTCTATATCATTCTTAGACAAATCATTTTGATATTTTCAAAACAAGACCCAATACCCTTAGACATTCATGCAATACAGATAGTAGTTATGTATCGAGCATGATGGAGTATGCGGCTATAGCATTCTTATAATATCTCAACAGGTGGCAAGCACAATCATACCAACCACAGCTATATTTAATCAAACATCACGTGGTTGCAATCGACTGACTGCTCATATCCTATTCATAGGATTCTTTGGGCAATTTCAAAAGTGGTAGGAAGAGCATCTCATCATGGATAGAAATATTATTCACAATATTCTCATCACAACTAACAAGGGTGAATTTGATTTATAAAACAGGAACATCCTCCCGGAAACAATGTTATTCAATATCACATCAATTGGATATATCTTGGATATATTCACATTTGATAATGATTCTGGAATAGCCCAAGAGGATTTATCAAAACTATTCCTAAGCTCCAGAAGATATCAATATATATTCCTGGCAAGATCAGACAGAGACAAAGTTCACAACAAAGATTTCTTCAAAAACCTTCTTGGATTCCAATACAAGAAGATTAAGCCTTGGGAAGAAATAACTTGTGAACAAGCTCACTGGTTTCCCAAACCAACAGAAGATCAGTACCAAGGAAGAAATCTTGGATCCTTTTACAAACAGTTTGAGCCATTGATCTACAATACAAGGCCCAATAAACAGTCCAAACCTATGAGTCTCAAAAATCGTTTTTCTTTTACAAAACAACCAGCCTTATCCATTTTCAAAACCCATGAACCAAGACAGATCAAAGCCCAACTGACAAATCCTCTGATCAAATCTGGAAAAAAGAAAGATTACACTTCAACATCTTCTTCCTCAATTACTAGTGATGAAGATGAGAAAGAAGAAGGTTCTATAGTCAATCTATTGACTAGTAACCAACATCTTCTTCTTAACGTCATTGGAAATATTTTTGAAACAAAGCAACCCTATCTAAACAGGTTCAAAGAATTCTTGAACCCAACCTATATATATATATATATATATATATATATATATATCAAAAGAGCCTCTGTTTATTGCGAAATATGGGGTAGGTAAGATGCCTTTGAGATTTGAGAAAAGGGACATACAAAAGCTTTTAATTTATTGTATTTATCAGTACACTTGGGTAGATTTTTAGTTTTCACACTATTTTTCACAAGAGGTATTACTAAACCTAGATTTTAAGTTTTCGACTAATTCAAATTTACTTTGATTTTTTTTTTTTTGGTTAAGTAGTCGCGATTTTTGAGGCAAAATGATTATTTGGTCGTTTATGCACTTCTATAAATTGATAAGTAATACTTAATAGAGAAGGTAGGCAATTTATATCTCTCATTTTTAGCGTTTTTTCTTGTCAGAAAACCACTAGAGTCATTATTGCATCATTTGCCTAGACATGCGTAGAAACCAAAGAATAATTAATCACACTTTGCTTCTTGAATTTTGGGATAGTGATACTTTACACCCTTAAACCTTAGAAATATAAAATTTGCCCCCATGGAGCTAGTTGTATGTCTCTCTTCTCCTGCGTTTCTTAAATCCCACCTTCTCTTTATGAGTGAAATGCAGGGAGTCAAAAGGGCCAGTGATTGTTTGAACTGGTTTGGACCAAAAAAGAAAAAGTTGCATGTTAACAAAGTTACCATGATATTATTTAACATTATAACAGGAGTTAATTATCTAAAAATCTAATTTATTTTATTATTTCATCATACTTAAACATAAAAAAAAATTATTAATACAATAAATTATACCAATCCAGGATAGAAAAACAAAAATTCTTATTTGCCTATATTGCTAATTATGTTAAAACAAGCATTTGATTCTTAATCAAAAAAGAAAGACACATGATGGGGGCTTGTCCTCCGGATGGAATCCAATGCCTAAATTAGTTGCCGAGATAAGGTTTGTGTTCAAAAGTTATGAGATAAAAGAATTGGATATCTCCAGAAACGACAATGGACCAATATTTATAATCCAAATGGCCAATATATAGTTTACGGAGAGTGAGCTGCATTAATTGTCCTAAGATGAACTCCAAATCAGCTCCTATGCAAAGTCCCTCTAATCGTTGTCAAATCGATTCGTTATCAATCACTGTCTTTTTTTTTTTTTTTACACAATAACTATTGTATAACCTATCTATTCTTAGACTAAGAAAAAGCTTGTTAGGGACTAATAGACCTTACTAAATCAAAGGAGTGTTTTGACACAATTTTTAGATTTTTTTTATTACAAATGAAATTTAAACTCCCACTTACAGCCCAAGCAAGGTCTTAAGACCCACCTTAATGGTCACTGAGCTAAGCTCAAATAGTTAGTTAATAGTTATCAGTCACTGTCTATCAGAGCATTCTCGAAACCATTCACTTCTCGAACTAGGCATCACATACCAGAGGGTAGTCGAAGTGCTTCTTCAAGGCCCCACAACTACAAAATTAAATCTATATTATTGGATTCAAGGCCTCTTTTTTTTTTAAAAAAAAAAAAAAAAAAAAAAAAACTACTCCATATAATTATCAATGTACGGTAACATTTCATCTATCATCATTTGTTGAAATCCAAATCTAAACAAAGTGATGCTAACATATTTTTTGGCCAAACTTGCCCAATAAAAAGAGTAAAATCTATTAATACCAAATTTATTTATTTATTTGTATTTCCTTTTTATAACTACACATCACTAGGCGTACAATGCCCATACTTATTGCCATTGCAAGTGAGTGATCAAACTTACAGACACACCCAAAGGTCATATGGGAGGTGTTTGGTTTGCATTCCAGTATCGAATTCATAAACCCGAGTATGGTTTTTCATCATTCCCCCACACAAGTTCGCCCGGGAAGTGTAATGGCTCTGTGATCAAGCAACTTCCTGCACAATGATAGAAATATCTCCAAGAGGGTAAACACCCATAGCCAACAACAGTGTTGGTGGATGGCCTTCAACTTTTAAATCGTGACTGTAATAGGGGGAAATATCTGGAAATGTTCAATTCATCGCACCGATAATTGTTTAGCTTTAAAAGCATACAAGTTGGTGCAGCATTTGGTTTTCTGTGAATTTAGGGCAGCGCAGTCAAGTCATACGAGAAAAAGAACATACTACTACCATCCAACTCTTGTACTCACAAGAAATTTCTTTCTTTCTTTTTTGCTGTTGCCTTAGAGCTGCATGATAGGCTCACAGCAGGGAGCTTAATTAATCATGTTGCATGTTCTCATCACTTCATAGCTGAAGAGCTACTGGAACTTGATGAGCACCTAGCCTGGACAGCCAACGTCTTGACAGTACCTCGACATGGATCTCCGAACACAGCATTCGACACTTGAACAGAACAGCTGTTTCTTCCCTTACAAGCCTGCAAAAATGAGAAAACCTTAATCAGTGTTTTGATTAACCAACATGCTCTTGATTAGTGTTCATGAACCTCCATGCAATATGTGTGCCCCAGACTATTTATTAGAGGCGAATGGCATTTAGTAAATGCTAGACATCACAGCACTGTGTAGTGAAAGAAGAAGAAGTAGAAATGATAATAATTATAATAATAATAACCATTAATAAACTAGACTTAACAAATTTTGACCTCAATGTACCCCAAGCAAACAAGTTTTTTGATAAACATTGTTCTGATCTCTGAGAGCCAGAAAGGTTGCAAAAGCACCTTTGGCTAACAGGTTTGAGGAGTGTCAATTGTACACTGACCACCCTTGCAAGCAGATAGATAACCATATATTCTAACGCTTGACCTACTAGTTTACAATAGAAACCTTCAGCACACCAAGGTTTGGACTGACAGTTACTTGCTAATCTATAAACAAGTAAACTCATGATATGCCCAACACTCATATGGCAAACAGATGACAAGCAGAATACTTGAAACTTGTCTAAGACAGTATCTAAGAGTATAGCGCAATCCAAATGGATTTGTCTGAATCAAAAGGTATTATTACAAGTAAATAAAACAAAGCTACAGTAGTTTTTAGGTCAATGGTTATACCGATGAACAAACAGATAAATGAAAAAAGTCATTTGCACATTAGACATCCTTCAGTGAGTATACTATATATTAGGAATCAAATATTAACTTTCCTTCAGATCCTAAAACGTACCATGCTATCCTCATGAAATTCGCCTTTTTTTTCCCTTCAAATCAACTTGATTATGTATCTTCTAATGACATTTATCTGCTTCCTTATAGAATGACAGCTGCCTGATGCTTACACTTCCTACAAGAATTATAAGGACGTACCTCAGAAACCAAAGACAGAGAGTTGGATGCGTGGCAGCTTCCTAACGCAAAAACCTGGCACCTGCCTTTAGGAGTCCCATAGCTTGCAAATTCTATCGAGGAGATTGAATAGCCATCTTCACACTTCAAGTTCATTAGAGGTGCCATATCACTCTCTGACAGTTTTCCATCTTTGATCTCTGGATCAGACCATATATCTAGAGGTGGATAGTGTTTCTCTGACACTTGACCACAAATGGTTTCTGAGAAGCGTAATTTAATAGACACATCAAATGGAGTCTTCTCTGTTTCCTCAAAGATGACGACTAAATTGTCAGACTTCTGCAACCATGATCTTGGAATGTGGTACCTAGATTTTCCATAAAAAATTAGCAATTAGAGGGGCAATCAAAATGCTGCGTAAACTTGATGGCATTTTAAACCAATGAATGCAGCTGCACACATTGGACTGAAGGAAAGAAAATTAGACCACTAAGTCAACAAAAAAATATATATATAACATAAAAAGCGACATGAATGCACAATATCAATTCAACTGAGTGTGCATGATACTACCAGACTTGAGTTGGTTCCCCACAGTTAGTTGCACACTTATCAGAATCATAAGCACCACGATAATCACAGGTTTGTTGGCAACCATTTTTGGGAGCAGCAAGAGTCCAATATCTTCCTATGTGGTGGCCATTTACCCAAACCTGACCTTTTCCCATGCTGCTTAAATCAAGAGCAACTGGATCTGTCCCAGCAGGAGCATCAAAATGTGTCTGCATGTTTGCCAAAAGAGAATATGTGAGAGAAATCTCAGAATTACTATCATACTAACAACAATTTAATCTAACAAATTGCCTATAGCCCATAGGGGAAACTACTGAAAAGAGAAAGAAAAAAGAACAAGCTTCTAAGCGGTAATTTTGCTTCCAAATTCATTATGCATTGCTTGGAAAAGACGCAATCCTGCATGATCTCCAGAGACAGTGTTGCAAGTAATGGTTAAATAGAGATAGAGTTACCTTGTACCAAGAAAAGATGGATGACATTGCACCATGAGGCAACTCATTCCATCTGGAATTCATGCTTTGATCAGGAGCATATATTCTCTCGTACTCACCCTTAAGCCCAACCTGAAACCAAATATACAGGAAAAAAAGGCTTGACTGGATTACATCTTCATATTATAGATCCTAGCAGGTCAATCATGTATGTGAAAGAACATGAACTTCAAGACCACAGATTTGGCAGAACAAGGATACAAAGTCAGCCAAAATGTACTACAGAGTACATTCTAGAGAAGAACTCCAAGATATTTAGAAAATAGCTGTGTTCTTTTTTGCCAATTATCCTTGCTCAGCTCCAAAACTTATGATACCTCTATGTTCAGCTTTGTATATTTTTCCTTTCTTCTGTCACAGTTTTTAATGTCATGATTGTGGCAAGAATGGTTTTAGGACAAAAATTACCTCATGTCTGAGTAATTTGAAAATCTTCTGATTTTGGAATAACCAATCAGGTGACATCCTACATTTAAAGCTGACAGGGAAAACACAGAAGCGCTCACCACATAAAATTCAGAGAGAAATTCTTGCCTTGACAGGCCCTCTTTAAGAATCAAGTTTGTCATTGTTCATTTATAAGTTTCAACTCAGCTGTCTCAGTTACTCCTAGTTCAACCAAGGGAAAAATTCCTCCAAGGAAGAGGTCCTTTCCCTTTTTACTATTGGAACATACACTTTTATTGCCCCCAGTACTAGCAGTACAGACAAGTATTACGATGATTTATTTGAAGGAAACGCAGCAGAAACAGAAGCCATAGTGCTTGCAAAACCAAAACAAGAATGGTACAATAGTATGGACTCCGAGTGACTGACTATGGATTCGATGAAAATGAATGTCTGTGCAGTACTATATAGCGTCCCTGGACTTCTTATATGAGACACAATTTGGATTTAAGTGATGTGCTCTCTCATCCAGGGAAAAAGCAAAAAAAAAAAAAAAAAAAGACAATAAAATGGTGCCCCAAATTCCACTTGAACGAGTCAGATAAGCTTTTGTCTTTGACAGCATTTTCAAAACTAAATTTCTACTCTTTTCAACATTTGTCACAAAGGTAAAGTGTACAGCAGGATTCATCTTGAGTTGAGTTTTACCTGGTAAGTCCAGAATGAGTTAGTAAGATCAACATCCCCACTTTTACAGCCAGTGAGTTTGATTGGACCCCTGAACCCTGTTCCATCTTTTTCAAGGAAGGCACCATAGTTCTGACAGAATGACAAGAAAATTGACATCCACATTAGATAAAGTCACTTTTTCAAATTTTAATTATTTCTATATCAGATTTAGAGATTGAAAAGAAGGCCAACTACGAAAAATGACATAAAAATTTATGAGGCAAGGCGAGAGTTGGCCCATATACAGACACTAGATAAGCAAAAAAAAAAAATAGCATTCCTCTGTCCTTTATTCACGAAGATTTAAATAATTCTGGAACCAGCAACATGTAACTGTAATCCCAGTTGTCAAATTAACTAATTTCTGCTGGAAGTAGAGGAGACAAGGCATAGGGAAGGATGAATGAAATTGAGATATAGGATCCAAATAAATGTCAAAATAAACAGGAACTAGAAAGATAATAGTGTTTCCAGAAAAATAGATTATCTAGTCCTTTTTGGGTTCAAAATGTCCTTCTACACACTATGCTTACGAGACAGAATACCTGCAAACCCACAGTTTGGGATAAGAGGACTATGTCATTGTATCCTTCAGTAAGTTGAACAGGCTGCACCACCTTGATCCACTTTCCTTTTGCACTACCTTTACTTCCAACAGTCATTAGAAAATGCAAAGAAAATTTGAAGCACAGTCAGAAATATAGGAAAACGAATGAGAACGAGAGTCCAGAACTACAGAAAAACACAAGTGAGTAAGCAGTTTAACTAAATGGGGCCCTTTAGTCTTTGATAGAATGTTGCAGATAATAGTTTTAGGGTGTAGGAATCAGAACTTATTTCATTCATATGAATTTAAAATATGTGAAATAGCAGGGAGGGTCCTGAAACATTTTATATAGAACTCTATAGTCGATACCATTTTAAACTTGCAAAATTGTACGATATGATACCTTTGTGGTTATGCACAACATGCCACGCTAATTCAAGGAATTGAAGGTTAAACATGCTTATTTAGCAAATAGAGTTAGCACCAAAGGAAGTCCAACTTGGTCCACATTGATGCTGCTCAAGTGAGATCATCAAATAGTAGAGAAAACTTTTCAGTCACACTTATCCAGACACCAAGAATTAGTCTCAAGGATTACTTTATTCCAAAAGACAAAGTTAATGTCCGCCACAGTCAGCTGAAAGTATGCTGATATAGAAAGCCAAGCCAAAAAAACTATCATTTGACAAAGCTAGACCCAGAAATACCAATGTGCAGAAAGCTAGGCACCAGAAACATCCACATGGAGAAAGGTAGCATCGGTTTGCACTCACGGAGGGATATGAACTATGAAGCACATGATGGTAAGTACCTGCAAGTTTGCCGTTTATGAATATTCTAACCATATCACGCATGCTATGAATCTTAAGTGTTGGTCTAATTTCATTCTTCTCCCAAAACAAGACGTCTTCATCAGATACATATACCCTGCAGTTAGCCAGATATTAGAACAGATCTCATTTAGTGACAAACGTAGTAAAATTGTCAAATTACTTGAGCAAAGTAAACAACCAGGAAAATATATTCTTAAAGCAGAGAATGTGAATGCAAGCAACCATGGGGTAGGGGAAATCAGTATTTATAGCAAGTTATCCACTTTCATTACTGAAGTTCTCAGAAAATCAGATTCTTCTTTTGAAAGTTGAGTTACTACCCAATTGAGACTAATTTCCTTTGCAGACAACCAGAAATTTAATAGAAAAAGTGAGATATCTTTGCATCTTACCATGGTTTTCTCAAAGATATCTGAATCACATGAAGATGTATCATTCAAGGAATGACAAATGCATTTGCTCATAATACAAGTACAAAACTAAGTACATATAACATCCACAAAACCAGCGCTTTAATCAAGCTCCAATAAAAATAAAACAATTACCTAATGCCAAAAAAAAAAAAAGAATTCCTTAAAAAGCTAAAGATTTTGCTGCTGTAAAAGATGGAAGTTGATAAGGGATACACATGCAGAAAGAATGAAACTTGACTTAGAGTCACCCTCGATCATTTATGGTCAGAAAGACAAACCATAAGCGGGATATAACAATTGTATATCGTGAACTGGCAAAAACTAAAATTAAATCAAGAAAATGGCGACATCCCGGAATAAAAAAATGAACATCACCACTCTTGTCACAAGGAAAAAAAGGCAAGTTCAATAATAGCAAATTATAATAATCTTGCTGATGACCTCATACTCTGGAAGTGCCATTTATCAAACCTAATCCCACCTCCTTACTCAGCAAAATTAAATTTGAAACTCAAACTAGATGAACACCTTACATTGTCATGCCTTTGAACAACTAAGTTTGTCATCTCATGGACAGCTTAAGCATCATTAAGTTCTAGATGTGAAAGTCAATTTTTACTTTGAGATAGACCAAAACTTTGACGACTCCAAGCAACTACTAGCCATATACTTTCTTCTGGACCTTTACCTTCATTATTTAGATTACACACTTATTTTTAGTAGCTAAATTCCTAGGATTGTCAGTCAGGGAACGATATAGTTGCCTCATATAATTCAACATTCTGCAATGTCAATCGCCTCTAAGCTTGTAGATACCTCTTATCGGAGCAGTAATGTCAAAAATACAAAAGACAAACCATATCATAATAGAGGAGACGTGTTACCAAGATAACTGAATAAAGCCTACAATCCATATAGAGAAAAAGGGTAAAAGTTTCAATTATCTTTAGCCACTAACTAAACCTAGAAGAACTCCACAATTCTTAATCCATTGCCTAAAGTGTTGTGTGCATTATTTTCCCCTAGCATAAACCTTTGTACTTGAAATGGAATTTTTCATTCAAGTTTAACAAGAAAATAGGTAAAAGAATAGCTGCAATTAGAGTACGATAAATGAACCAGTATTAGTGGTAATAATAAAGCACATATACAACCACCACTTCAATGAAGACATGCATTACAAAGTTCCCCTGGCTAAAGTTTAAATTGCAAAGACCAATTACTTCTAAGTTTGTCCACTAAGCATGAATATTATTATGTTTTACACCTTTTGCTGTGAACAGCAGAAAATGGTTAAAGAGATGAATGCAAGTTCCTGCTGTTGATATTGATACCCCATCTCAGGTATGCTGCTAGACATATGTCTAACGAATTAGTAAACGAGTAAATAAAAGGCATGAGATTAGGTTACAAAAACCACAACTGCAAGAGTTTAGAAAACGAAAGACTGATTTAAAATAGAAAACAAAGATTGAACTCCATCCAAGAAAAAAGTTTCTGTTCATCTTACAGAGCCAAAACATTCAAAGTCCACAAACTTACCATTTAGTTCACTAGCTATATTCTGCAGAAGTCTTTTATTTCAAAAGTTGAGAATTCTGAATCTTTTAGATGGACTTTATAGCCTAATGCTTAAAATCCAGCACTAGTTGCTCGGTATCAAATTATTATGTTTACATTAGGGGTGCAGAAGATTCAAGCCACTCGCCTGAAAGCTCGCTAGTAGCTTAGTCAACAGCTCAACTGGAGCTTAGCATTGACCGAGCTCAAGTCGAGTTTGAGCTCACAAGTCGAGCTTGAGCTCCGAATTCTAGTACTCAAAGGCTCGACAAGCTCATTTAAGTAGTTGCATTTTTCTAATTAAATTATTAATATCACAAAATTACTCTTTTAGGTACATTGTTTGTGAGATTTGCTAAAGAATTAGAACCACTAACTGAGCTTGAGCTTGAGTAATTGAGCTCGAGTAGGCTCAACAACTATTTTGAGCCTTTTCGAGTTGAGCTCGAGCATGAGGAGGAACCTTTCAAGTCAAGCTCGAGCTTCAACTCTCAGGCTCATTCGAGCTTGAGCACCCCTCCAGTCATCAAGTTTGAGCTCAACCATAGTGATACTCGAGCTCGACTCGAATGCACCCATATTTCACATTGTGTAAAACATATATTTTAGCTGTTTCCATTACACCCTCAACACAGGTGGGATTCTAATTTTCTGGGCGAGAATGTGCATTAGAATAACCAACTACAAGAAGACATGACCACAGCCAATGGAAAGTGATTGGAAAATTGGTCATCAAATTGACAGTATGCAACATATCCAGGTAAAATCTGGACAAACATGATAAAAAAGTAAATAAATGATAGCTATTGCACAACCAGACCATATAACCGCTTGGGTAAATTCTACATACCTGGTTGTATACCATAAATAGTCAGATAAGTCTTTTGTCAAATTTAAATGTTCTAGGATGCCTTGGAAAGTGACATTGTTGTCACCCCACACACCAATGGGCTCTTCCAAGCTCAACCAGGATTCTGAGATGTGTGCTACCTTTTCCTGGATTGTTGATTGTGCCAAAAAAGAACCATCTTTTAAAAAGGGAACATCAAACCTGACTGTTTTTATGGAAGTTTGGGCCGCAACCTGTTTTAAAAGTGAACATAGCTATACATTAACTTTTGCTGGTCAAAGTAGGAGGACAATGACATGTGAGAGATGTAGTTTCTTACTTAGAAGGATGAACCACAGGATAGAAAAAGTGAACAAAAACAAGCAGCAGGTGAAAAGTTAGCATGTGTCAACTGAAGAGAGTTAAAAAAAAAAAGGTTGGTTATGAGCTTCCACCAAAATTTCTCCACTCGAGTCTCGAACAACAAAAAAAAATGACATTTTTTAATAGTCTTCTATGCAATTAAAATTACCAGTTGGAGAAATCATGGAATTGAAACAGGGTAAAGCAATAGCCATGGAGGAGCTGATACGCACTCTTCAAAGTAAAAACAGCTAAGACAGATACCAGCCCTCAATAAGTAGTATAGTATGAATGCTTTCCCTTCATAAGAATCATACCTACATCTACTAGTGATAAACAAGTCCGTATAGATTTTGTACCTTAAAAGAGAAATACATATCCCATTGGCAGTAACAATCCCATAGCTAAAAAATAAAAATAAAAAGAAGCCCTATAGCTTCTTTTCTTCGAAATCTTTTTGACAACATGCAACAGAAGTGAAAAAAAATACTAATTGATGCATGGTATGGTTATAAATGAAATTCCAAAATGATATTACATCTCCAAACCTTGGCAGTGTTGAAAGCTGTGTTTCGGCAGTTTGGTAAGATACTCACGGACCAAGGTGGCAAAGTATATACTTGACCAAGAAATGTCACTGAAGCTGATTTATGTTCATCAATGTTGGCAAGAAACACCGAGCAGATCTCATACAAGGATATATTTTGGCCATGGCTCCTTATGTTTCCACGGTACACGTGTGCCTGAAGTTATTAACATAGGCCCCCCATCAAAATCCAAATTCTGAACAGAAATGATTCAAGGGTTGCTGCCAGTTTGGTTGAGATTGAAAGATAAACACATGAAGGTAGAAAAATTTCAGGTGTCTTTATCACATAATTGTAAGGAAAATTAGCAATGACCAAAGATCCTCCATCTTTACAACTGTCAAATTTTCTCCAAGCTGACAGCACATGCTTACAGATTTATAAGAAAATTTAAGGCCAGATTGTTGCAATAATGAGGGTTCTAGAAACTGTAGACATTCTTGAAACTTAATTGATGGTTTAGCAGTGATCCTATACTTCTTGACGGAGTAACTTCGGCATGTTAAGTTTTATGACATTAACGAAGGCAATGATTGATACTGACAGAAAATTATAGGCTTTGTTAGAATTAGACAACAGTAAACCAGTAGTTTGCGTGGATCTCTGTCATTACTCTTTTTTTTTTTGTTCAGTTTTAAGCTTGTCTTATGATGGACTGTTACAGCAAGGAAATATTGATATCTTCACCCAACTAAAGCCTTAGGAATACTAATACGCAACACAAACTTGGAGTTTCACATGTCTAAAAGTACTATAAGATAATCATTTAACAACTTACCACTTCGTTTGACAATCACCAACCATTATAAACTTTCAAGAAATGGAAGAAGAATAATACCATTCAATGTTTGACTAACAGCAGAAATGATGAATACACCATTTGGAGTTCATTAACACGTGAAAATAAGCTCTTTTATGGTTGGTTATTATGGTTGGTTAGAGAAACTCCTCCTTTCTGCTCTACCATTCTCCACCAACCAATAACATTACCAGAAAAGCATAAGAGCTTCCTGCACAATCTCCATACATGTCCACTCACCAACTAGTATTTATAGGAATACAAATCTAACCAACTATTTACAAGAATACCCTTACTAATATATTATCTACAAGAATACTAATGTTCTCCTAACACTCCCCCTCAAGTTGGAGCATATATATCATAAGCACCCAACATGTTACAAAGGTATTTCACCCTAGAGCCCCCTAAACTCTTGGTAAACAAATCAGCCAATTGATCTGCAGACGGTACATGAGATGTCTTGATGACTCCGTCAAGTAATTTCTCTCGAATGAAATGACAATCAACTTCAATATGTTTTGTCCTTTCATGAAACACTGAATTAGACGCAATATGGACAGCCGCCTGATTATCATACACTAAATTCATAGGCTGTTTATACTCAAACCCAATTTCAAGTAACATGCTTTTCAACCAAACCAACTCACACACAGTGTGAGCCATAGCACGGTATTCAGATTCTGCACTTGATCTGGAGACAACTGTTTGCTTCTTACTCTTTCACGACACTAAATTACCACCAACAAACACACAATATCCTGTGGTCGATCTTCGATCTGAGGCAGAACCGACCCAATCTGCATCACTATATCCTTCAATATCAGTGTGTCCATGATTTTGATACAGCAACCCTTTTCCAGAAGCACTCTTAAGATACCTGAGAATCCGTATAACAGCATCCCAATGACTAGTACGAGGAGTATCAAGAAATTGACTCACAACACTCACTGCAAACGAAATGTCAGGTCTCGTTACAGTAAGATAATTTAATTTACCCACAAGTCTTCGATATTGCCTAGAATCATCAAGTAATGCACCTTGATCTCCTACTAATTTCAGATTAGGATCCATAGGAGTATCCACAGGTCGGCAACCTAACATCCCAACTTCACTCAACATATCGAGTACATATTTCCTTTAACATAAATAAATCCCATATTTAAACCGAGCTACCTCAATACCCAAAAAATACTGTAGATGATCTAAATCCTTTGTCTGAAAGTTTGCCTGTAGATTGGATTTAAATTTCTGGATCCCCACAACATCATCACCTGTAATCACAATACCATCCACATAAACAACTAATAAAATTTTACCAGCATTAGAATGCCAAGAAAATACAGAATGATCTACTCCACATCTTGTCAGACCGAACTCCATGACAACACTACTAAACCGGCCAAACCAAGCCCTCAAAGACTGTTTCAATCCGTACAAGGATTTTTTCAAATGACAAATCAATCGCGGATTCTCCCCCTGAACAACAAATCCAGAAGATTGTTCCATATATACCTCTTCTTCCAAATCTCCATGCAAAAATGCATTTTTCACATCCAACTGATGCAATGGCCAATTATAAGTGGCTGCTAAAGAGATAAGAAGACGAACAGAGGTAATCTTTGTAACAGAAGAAAATGTCTCGAAATAGTCGATTCCATACACCTGGGCAAATCCTTTAGCTACCAGACGAGCCTTCAATCTATCAATAGAACCATTAGGTTGTACTTTTATAGTGTACACCCATTTACAACCAACAACCGTCTTACCAGAAGGAAGAGGAACAAGATCTCAAGTACCATTTTTCTCCAAAGCAAGCATCTCTTCTTGCATAGCTAATCTCCAACTAGGATCATTGAGAGCATGGGTAATAGACTTAAGAATGGATACCGAATCAAGGGAAGCAACAAAAGAAGAATATGACAGAGAGAGACAAGAATAAGAGACAAAATTAGAAATAGGATGAGAAGTACAATGTCTCTTACCTTTACGTAAAGCAATAGGAAGATCGGACTCACAGGAGGGCGTTATACCTGGATTTGAAGTTTGAGAGTTAATTGGTGAAGTGCGTAGCATATCAGGAGCTTTCTCAACCATGGAACGATGAGAATATACTTGAAAATTAGGACGAGATAATCGAGTTGTGGAATCTGGTGAATTAGATAACTCAGGTAATAAAGGTGAAGGAACTGGCAAAACAGGAGAAGGAAAAGAGGAACACTGGTCTAACTCACAAGATATACCTTGCTTCATAAAATAAGGAGTGGATTCAAAGAAAGTAACATCAGCACAAGTAAAAAAACGATTTAAAATCGGACTGTAACATCTATACTCCTTTTGCGCTCGTGCATATCCTAAAAAAATACATTTAATGACACGAAAATCTAATTTATCCACCCCGGGAGCAAGCTGATAAACAAAACACACACACCCAAAAATACGAGGAGGTAATTTAAACACAGATTCATGAGGAAAAAGAACGGAGTGAGGTAATTGGCCTCCAAGAATATTAGATGGCATGCGATTAATTAAATAACATGCAGTTAGAACTGCATCACTCCAAAATTGTTTGGGCACATTCATGTGCAACATAAGTGTCCGAGCAACCTCGATTAAGTGTCCAATCTTTCTTTCAGCAACTCCATTCTGTTGTGGAGTGTGAGGACAAGAGGACTGATGAATAATACCGGACTTAGTCATGAAGGTATTAAAAGGAGTGAAAAAATATTCTTTCGCATTATCACTGCGAAGTATACGTACAGACACACCAAATTGATTTTTTATTTCTGTAACAAATGCACAAAAAATGGAATATAGTTCTGAACGATCTTTCATTAAATAAAGCCATGTAACTCTTGAAAAATCATCAACAAAGATTACAAAATATTTAAAACCTAACTTTGAATCAACTCGACTAGGACCCCAAACATCAGAATGAACTAGCATAAAGGGTTCAGAAACCCGTTTATTGACTCTAGGAGCAAAAGAAACACGATGATGCTTTCCTAATTGACAAGACTCACATTCTAACGAAGACAACTGACTCAAAGTAGGAACCAACTTTTTCAAATTTTGTAAAGACGGATGACCCAAACGACAGTGAATTTCAAGAGGAGAAACAGTAGCAGGACATGCAATCGGACCATTGAAGTTAAGAAAATAAAGACCATTATGCTCATGCCCTCCACCAATCGTCCTCTTTGTCTTCAAATCTTGAATGACAACGAAATCAGGAGAAAAAATAACTGAGCACTGTAGAGATTTAGTGAGCTTACTAACAGACATTAGATTAAAGGGCAAAGTGGGTACGTAAAGAACAGAAGACAGCGGAAGAGATGGGTTAACTTCTACAGTGCCTAGTCCTTTAACTTTAGTGGTAGATCCATCAGCTAAAGTAACATGAGAAAAGGAAGTAGACTCTTGAAAATTAGAAAAATTTTTAGAGGTACCTGACATATGATCAGTAGCCCTGGAGTTAATAATCCATGGGTCATTACCTTTTTGTGCTAAAGAAGCAAAGGGAAGAGATGCGTGATTTGTAGCTTGGTACTATAGGAATTTAACATAATCTTCCTCGGATATAGTAACAGTCTTCTGGGACCCATATGCTGAAGAACTTGATTCAACTTGATCAGTGGTAACCCTATTAGCAAAACTTTCAACCATAGCCAATATCACTTCAAACAAAAGAAAAGGTCAAAACTCGAGATGAACAGTGCTGCGTGAACAGTGCGCCGTAAACAGTAACAGCGTGAACAGTGCCGCGGTGAACAGTAACAGCGTGAACAGTACTTTGCTAGATGTTTAACCCTAACCCTAGGACTTTTGCTCTGATACCATGTTAACAGGTATCTTGGGAGGAAAACATCTAGTCACCGTATTATGAGTGACCAACTAGTATTTATAGGAGTACAAACCTAACCAACTATTTACAAGAATACCCTTACTAATATTTTATCTACAAGAATACTAATATTCTCCTAACACTACCATTCTCCACCAACCAATAACATTACCAGAAAAGCATAAGAGCTTCCTGCACAATCTCCATACATGTCCACTCACTTCTCAAATAATCTATTTCTGATAAACCTGTAAATAACAACTCCAAGTCCAAGCCTTCTCAAAGCAGGCTGAGCACTTTAGTTTGCAAACATACGCGTGAAAGTATTGTCACAGGTGAAGGTCAGTATTTAACCTATGACCTCTTACCAATCAATTAATACCATCAACACCCCAATAAATAGGTAAAACCATTCAAGTATGAGAAAGAAAGAAGTGGTCAGAGAAAGTAAGGTAGTCTTAGGAACCATTACTGCCTTCAAGGCTCCAACTAACCAACAAGCCAAGTCAAAGATTAAAATATAGGATATCTAATGTCAAAATAAAATTAAGAAAGTGAAAAACAGACCAAGTAACGGTACTTAATTGCTGTATCTTGAATATTCTCCTGTAATTTGAAAGGAAGAATTTTTATCTCCAAGACTTCTTCCTAAGAATCATCAGGACTATACCATACTGAAGTTTTTTCTTTTCTCTCAATAGTTCATATTGCTGAGACTGTGTATCAAACACACCATCTTAGATCCTATCTATTATACACCATAAAGTTAAATGCATAGTAGAAAGGAAGTCAAATGCAGGGATGAGTACTGTCAAGGAGAGAAATACTAAAGCTATACATTTTGCATGTCAGGTAACTACTCATACCTACAGAAAAAAATGAAAAAAAATGAAAAAAAGAACAAGAAGAAGAAGAAGAAGAAAAGACTAGCAAGCACAATAATGAAGGAACATAACAATCTCAATCAAGAAACTTATACAAACTTTGTCACCCAAACTGTTCCTGTTCCTCTTTGATTTGAGAAATCAAGTATGCTTTAGCATACTTTTGGGTAATACGGTATCCCGACTGACCCAAAGCAAAACAAAAAGAAAATCAAAAACACAAAATCCAAATGATTCTTAAATTCCAAAGGAAGATATCACTGCAGCATTTGTAATGCTCTTTCAAAACTCATAGAAAAAGGTTAGCAGGGAATTATGACTATCAAAATGAGAATGGTTTGACATATACCAACTGCTAAAGTTTGATGACTTCAGATCCCTACTCACCTCCTGCTTTGGCCCCAATTTAATATAATGAGCTGAATCAGCAGCAGCAAGAGCAGGTTCACATAGCTTTATAGCAGCATGTAGATCTCTCAAATGACCCCATTTAGGTTGGCTTAGCAGTCCTAGGCAGAGAAGAAAGAGATCGTGTTAACTGCTTTCTAACTGAAACTGAGAAGGAAAATAAAAAAGAAAAATTTAGAGCATTCACCTAAGAAGGAAAAGCCTTAGAGTGAAAAGCAAAAAGTCACAGTCAAGCATTACAAAACCTACCATATTCATCAATTGGAGCATCATAGTCATAACTAGTAATCTGATTTGGGCCCCCTGAAGTACGTCCAAAATTTGTCCCACCAAAAAACTGAAACCACAAGCGAGGAACCCATTTATTGGCTACATTTCCATTAATCTTTTGGTTAACCCCTTAGGAAACTTGCCATACAACTATCCAAATGTTTAAGAGACATTTAGGATGACCATGACAATAAAAGGCTAACTAAGTCAGCATAACACTGCAAGAAGGGAAAAAGGCAAATGGTCAAGAAAAGTAAAACAAAGATTTCTTGTTCTTGCAAGTGACCACAGGTTACTATTGATTCTGAGGTAAATGTCAAAACGTTGACAAAAATATCCTTCTTTTGAACATGGATACTGTATGTTTTTAATATGAAAGAAGAAAAATCAGTTAAAAAATTAACTACCATGAGAAAAGCCTTTGTTGTTAGATGCATTAAACAACTAATACTGCAACTTTGATGACCAGCACTCATATGTCATCCAGTTTGTAACTGTACCATATAATAATTCATAAGGCTTCCACCACGTTGAAAGAAACGAGCAACAGCAAAAGCAATGTCTTCAACAGGCCTGTGTGGGAGTCTCCCTCCCCAACTTGTATACCTTAAGGAAGACAAAGAAAGCAGAAAGAAACATCAGAGCCTTTATTTTATAATTAGTAAACAACTTTGCCCCAAGAAGGTGACAATCGAATTACAAATTTTTGGAAAATGTTTCAAGCCCAATTTCATCCCCCCCCCCAAAAAAAAAAAAGAAAAGCCAAGATTCTCTCTCTATAATTTTGATATTGTATTGCGACAAGCCTCTCATACCATGTCAAAGTTACAAATCGACCCTCTTAAAAGGATATATCATTTAATAAACTGTCAATCTCCATCAACAACTCTGAAGTACATGAGAACTTTTTGTTGCTAGATTATCTTTTTTCTCTTGAGCCCATCCTCCTAGTCAGTTGCTCCAGCACATCTTCACTCAAGTTTCTCAAAAAAGGATAATATGAGTACTTATGCGACAGCTCTTAATTAACTACCATTTGACGATCTCACAAACTAACAGAGGCTTAATCCTAGAATCTCTTGGTCAACAGGCCTAATGCTGCAAGTATAAACACCATCAATGCCAAAATATCTATTCACCCTTTTTCAAGATAACTTGCTCATCTATCTTCTAATATGTATCTATTCTACAAATGCAAATGAATAAGGAGTCATCTTAAGCAACAAGCAGAGAAGTTTACCTAACATAATGCAGTCACTGGACTTCTCAAATTGAGAAAGGGGAGAGAGAGAGAACAAAGAATATGCATCCTTTACCTCATTCAAGACCACTCTGGCCTGTTGGGATGAATCCCAATGATTTCCCACCCACCCTTTCATATAGAGGGACCCAAAAGATGACCAAATATGGTCAGCTGAGTATTGAAGCTATATATTTAAGCATGTAATTATTTGATTGTGCACTAGGACATGCAACAATTATAATTGGTGACTTCCCTTCCAGAAAGAGAGATCCACCTTGCTACCAAACAAAATGATATGATAAGCTATTGATTACCTGTGAAGAAGTGAGCCAGCTCACTCTTAAAATAAAATGCCATGCCAGTGTCTGGAACACATAGCCAGGTTAAAGGCAAGATAAATACAAAACAAAAGCTGTTATGCAGTGTCTAGAATATTAGGGAACACAATCTTATAGTTGGAATCATGAGATGTTTAAATTTGGATTCAGTGTCTAAGAGGTAATTCCTGAAGCATTTCTCACCAAAATTATAAATTAAAAAAAAAAAGGTGTCTTGATTTTGTGGTTGTTTGTTAACAATAGCATCAAGAGACACAATGACAACATTCCCGGAGTCCTCCTCTTTTCTTTTTGTTTTGTGTCCCCAATTTAACTGTTCCATGTCTTTGTGCCCAAATTAATTAATTGCAACTTTCAAACAAATAGCTGCAATATGAGCTGAGTAATAAAAGTGATGGACTCAGTAATCCCAAAGTACATTATCATGTATATTACTCCTTAAAGGCTTCCAATGGAACCAGAAGTTTGAATTTGAGAAGCTGAAGCAAATCTGTTTCATTTCTCTCTCTCTCTCTCTCTCTCTCTCTCTCTCAATTTCTTTCCCCCTTTTCTTGGGTTAAGTACATGTTAGTGATGCACGCTGATAGATTTACTGATGATTACCACCTTAAAAGACACTATATTGCATATTAACCTGCATTCTCGTACAAACTTTTCCCTATTTTATAACACCTAACCACCCCCCAATTTATCCAGCAAGTTATTGGCTAGGAATGATTTATTTAGGCTCAAATATGTTTCTCTCCATCAAGAGTCTATGGGGAAACCACACAAGAGGATTGAAGTGCTTCTAGCACTGGCCTATATTCCATCACCACTTGCAACATTTACAGCCTTTAGGCCTTAGCTGATTTACCATTTTTTAAGACAAACTTAATAAGAAAGGATCCTTTTAACTCTAATTGTGAAACAACCACAAGCAGATCTAAAATTTCTTATTCATATCCAACATTCTCCCATTTCCACCATACATGCAAAAGTATGATATGAATGCTTTAACCTTAAAAACATCAGAAATACTCATCCTACCATCCATCCCAATTTTCGGTCCAAAGCATCGGTTTGTTCTGGGAATTTGGCCTGAAACCATCACAGTAGTACCCATTGCAGGCATCTATCTGTCAGATGAAAAATTAAGCTACACAATCAGAGAAGTCAGAAATTTCAGAATCATGTCCAAGCAAGCCAAAGATCTATTGGTATGAGGTGCAAATGCAAAGACTATCAGGTCAATATTTGACCACTAACCCAAACTAAAGGTGTAAAAGCAAAGACCATCAGGTTATCGCTGACCAGTGACCCAGTACTAAACCTATATATTCAAATAAATGAAGAAATAAACAAAATCAAATTGAAAGAAACATGTTAGCAGATCAAGGTCTTACAATGTATTCTGGCGCATCAACTTGCTTGCACATGACCCATGGAACATCAGCACCAAGGCCAACAGCCATTTCAGCAGCCCATTTCATATAAGCTTTCCCTTTAGCACCAAAAGAGCTCTCAACATTTCCATATTCATTTTCAATCTGATCAAAGACATTTACAGGTTACAAGAAGTTATATAACCGCTAAATTAGGGGCAGAAAGATTTGAAGTGTTGGCATTGCGAAGCTAACATGAGAATGTTTGAAAATTTTGTTTTTCTTCTCCAGTTCCACCCCCCCCCCCCAACCACCAAAAACAAAAAAAGTGATTTCCTCAGCAAGAAACTGATTGCTTCAGGGAAGTGTAACACAAGGACAGATGGACAAACTATAATATATACTATAGCACATGCTGAGAATGCACCATGCACCAGCAAAACCACAAATATAAACAAGCAGAAAGAGAGAGAGAGAGAGAGGAAAATGACAGAATCCAACTCAAGTGTATAATAAAACCACAATCACAAAAACAGTCCAAGAGTTAAAGCCACTTTAGCTGAGCTAATGTGTGCTTTAGTTAGCAAGCACATTCAGTTATTTGACACGTAATATGCAATTGGGAAAAGATTCTAAAGGTAATAACTTCGTATACCACCTGCAACATAATGATAGGACCACCTTGCCATGAGAAGAGTGACTCTGCTCGCATTAGATCCACAATCTTTTTAACAAACCGCTGCATCTCCTCCTAGCAGAAGTATGACACTGTGTAAATCATAAATGGTGCCAATCCTAGGCTTACAATAGTCCATTCTGATTTGGACCAGGAAAATAGGGATAACAAGGTTCTCTTTCCCGTTGGACAAAGACCACCAATATGGTGATGAAGCAAAAGTAATATAGTAGAGAACCAGAAATCTTGTTCTGTTTCTATTTGACAAAGACTGCGATCATATGATGAAACTCGAGTAACATAGTGGAGAAAACCACAAGCAGTAGACATCCAAAAGCAAAAGGTCGAGTTATTACCAGCAATAACTAAGATGCCTAAATAAATCATGAGTGTTACTCGTTGCTTTTACCTTGAAGGGTGCATTATCAGTCCGAAATTCTATACCAGGGATATCTCGCAGCCAAACTGGAAATCCCCTGCAAAAAAAAGAACATCATAAGCAATCGACATATTAATTGTTTAAATATGCTTTGCTTGGTGAAAATATTTATCATTGAGAGCTATAAACTGTCAACCCACGCATTTCATGGAACAAACCTTCCACTTTTTGCTAGTGGGTGTTAACCGTAGCCTCCAATTTTTTGGTCATTATGCAAGTCAAAGTAGGATTTATTTATTGGTTGGGAGCAATTTTTACATATTTGACAATAATTGAAGATGGTTGTGGAGTTCCCTAGTAGGTAAGAGCCTTTGAAAAGGTAATTACACCAGGTCATTCTTTTTTCTTTTTCTGTTGTGTTACATGAATATAAAAATGGACGACATTGATGATGTATATATAAGGTATCATATGCTCAAAAGAAAAAAAAAAATCATCAGAATGAGAAAGAAGGTGCAACCCAAAGTTCCATTCTGCACAAACATAAGGACCGATTCGAAGAAGGAGATAGAGTCCACTTGAACCAACTAGCTTGGCAAATTTGACAATGTCGTATCTGCCTTCAAAGTTGTACTGAAAAGGCAATTCATAAATGTAAACAATGTAAACATGTATGTATGTCCATAAATCCTTCACAAGTAAAGCCATGCACACAAATGCCGAGACATTCCTACCTGTCCTTTAATTGGTTCATGAACATTCCAGAATGCATATGTTTCAATTACATCTGCTCCTCCTTCCTTGCTCTTTGCTATAAGATCTGGCCACATCTAACATCGCATAACAACTCCCATAAGAACTCAATCAGGACATGAACAAACTTGGCTAACAAACCAGAAATATTACCTCTGGACCACAAGGGGAAAGGTGAAAAACAAAAAATTACTAAATTGAGAAGTCAGACAAAGAAAGGTTTTCACCTCTCCAGTTTCAGTTAATCTTTAAATGTAGTTAATCCTTCGTTAGCTGATATAAAGTAGTACTATATGCGAGCCCTAACTAATGGGTGATAACAGATATATTCTTTCCTTCCCTTTTCTCCAAGCCATTCAACTGGATTCTCTAATAATGGTGAAGAAGCTAGTCATAAAAACTTCTAGAAATCGTATTTGCAAAAAACATATAAATTTTCATAAGGTCGGTTTCTACTTTTTATCTTACTATTTCTAGAGTCCTCCATAATGAATTAGCAACCCATGAATTGTATTATACAGCTCCAAATGTTTGTGATTTGAATATGATTCTAATCCAAGGTACTAAAAATTCTCAGAAAAGCAAAAGAGAAAAGGAGAAAAACACTTAGCAGATTTAGCGAAAAGGATGCATTTGGAGCTCTATTCTGATTAATAATCTGCAAACAGGGCTAAAAGATGAACAAACTATTCGATACTTAATTTTGAGCTCAGCTCAGTTATGTTACTGGGATTCTTCACTTCGCCCTGCCGAACCCGTGTCGGAGTCTACATTTTGCACTAGAGTACCCGTGTCAATGGACTCCCATACCCAAGTCCGAGTAACATAGCAGCTCATTAAGAGCCCTTTCAACCTTGGTTTGCCAACTAATCAAGCCAAACATGAACAACATTGATTGTTCATTAAAGTTTCAAGCTTGGCTCAAGCTCAACTTGATTTGCATAATATTTGAATTTAATATGTAAACACTCAACCTACTTGAGCTCGCTTCAGGCTCAGCTCGATAAAAGCCAGCTTGAGTTTGGCTCCAGATATAAAAAAAAAAAGCCAATTTTGACCATAATATCAAGTTCATTATAATAAACAAACTACTTCTTAAAAAAAACCTTGATTAGGCTTGTTGACGCCCATAACTGTCCATGGTGACCCTCATAACAAAATATCAGAAACTAATGCACTACTCATTGATTAACTAAAATGGCGCTCCAAGCTCAAATTTCCAATTATTTTCTTATGAAAAAGTATCTAGCATAAATAAATAGCAACCAGTTCAAGTGAGGTAATTCAAGCTACTTATCAAGAAAAAGAGTAACTAATTCAAGCTGATGATCCAATCATTTAAGAAGGAAATTCACTACTTCCAGCACGGAGAATTATAGCTATGACTTACCTCAGCAGTGGCCCGAGGGTAGTGAATTCCGGCGGAGATGAGCATACGACGTTTTCCGTCAATAATTACAGCTCTGTGATCGTAACTGACATTAAACGGCTTGAAATACTCGCCGCCGGCGAGGATTGCTAATTGCAACGTCAACGCCGCCGTAATCATCAGCCATTGCAGCAGCATTCTTCTCCCAACCACCATTTTCCACTTCTCTCTTTTCTCCACAACGAATAAAACACACAATTAGGACGCTTTTAGGATAGAATTTCGTATTAGGAGTATTTAAAAAATGGAAAGAAAAAAAAAAAGAGAGAAAGAGATTAGTACAACGTTACATCAGTGTCAGAGGAGGAGTTCCGGCAGTTGAAGGAAAGGAGTGACGTGGACAAGGTAGACTTTTGAAGTGGATATTGTTGCTTGCCTCCAGAAGTAGCAGTACTAATTGACCAATTTACCCCGTCACAAAGAATTTCTTTTCTTTTCTTTTTTAATTTGTTGGACGAGATGTAAATAAACCTAATCAAACAAAATATTAGTCTTAAACTTTTTGATTATTTTAATGAAGAAATTTTATTCAATTTTAACTTATTTATTTGTTGGACAGAATTTGAACGAATTTTTATCTAGTTTGAAAGTTATTAAACATAAAATATTATTTATACTTGATTTAACTAGTTGGCAAATTAAACGCAAATAAACTCTTATTAAATCGAGATCGATTTAAATATAAAATAATATGATTCATCTTTCAGCTCTAACTAACTGGAGTAAAGAAAGAAAGAATTTTTCTTTTTCTTTTATATATTGGTATCATATTTTAATTCTAGAAGCAAATGTAGAACACAAATGCCGATGGAATAGGATCAAATAAACTTTCACTTCAGAGGTCAATTTTCAATTTTTTGTGGTAACGTTCTTCTAAGTCGGGTTCTAAAATTACCACCGCGGGCCATGGCTACCCTCTCAATCCAAGTTGATACTCTCGCCCGTTTATATTGCTATTTTCTAGAGTTTTTATAAAAAAAAAAAAAAAAAATGTACCGTAGCGATTTGATATATACGAAATAAAAAAGTAATTAGAGAATGTGTTCATGAAAAACGTAAAAATTTGTTAGGAAAAAATTGCAATACAAACAGGGTTGAGAGTATAATATATATATATCCATGGAGGATAACCATTTTTCTAAACAGATTATAAAGTATAAAGGATAGTAAGGATAATGTGAAAACTACAAGAAAAGATCTAAACTTTTAAAAAAGATTAACTATACATGACGACCATATTTCCATCGTAATAAAGATAGTAATAAACCTATAAGAATAGATCTATATATATATATATATATATATATATATATATATATACATTTTAAATTGAAATTGTACTGATCCCGAAACAATTGTACTAACAAGAAGTTCCTGTTTTGATGCTAATACTCATCAGTGTCCTAGTACCAAGTGAATGTTTTTTATTTTCGTTTCAATATTTTATTTAAACAGAACTTTTAGCACTTAGTTGTAGTAATGGAACACGTAAAAGAACATGATTGAAGTAGCTAACCTAACATGGAACTAGAAAAACGTTGAAGCATAGACAAATGAAATTTCCAATTAAAGGTAGAATAGATAAGGATGACAATAAATAGAGTATAACAAAAAATAGAGGGTTCTGTATCGAAAGTTACTCGTATTTTAGTGCATAATCAACATAAATATTAGCACGATTAAAAGAATGTGACAACAAATAAGTTAAGAAATTATCTCTTGTAGTAAGATTAATCTTAGATCACTCTTATAGCTACTAAGTACGAGTTGAAGATGCATGTTCTTTCTTGTGCTTATGGAAGCTATTACACCTTGACAAGTAAATAGTCTGTCAAGCAATAATTGGAGAAATATTCTTTTTAAGCAAGATTAGTTTTATTAATCTTTCTTTACATTCATTCTTGTTCGACTGATGTACACTTCAGAGTGCAAAAGGCTTACCGTCCTCAAGTAGTGTGTAAGAAGGAAAAGAAAGGCTGCTTCTGGAGGAAGTGGAAATGATGTTGGAGAAATGATTTTCACCATGTAGTTGCAGTTGGAAGAAATTGAGGCACCAAAGATGATGGCTGTGCTTATAAGCTTGAATGAGCTATTTCAGTCGAGAAAAGCCAATGATCTAAACTTAATGGTTTCTAATAGGGAATTTGAGGTGTATTAGGTAAGTAAAGAAAAATGCTGCACTTAAGGTTTCTGTTGATTCGCCAACTTCATTCCTCACTGACATCTTTATTACTTCTTCACTACGTTTTTCCTTCAATTTTTGCCCTTCAATTTTTGCTGGCATAGTCAAGAACTTGTTTCCTTGGGAAAAGGCAAATGCAAAGACATCCTTGAGATGCATGGTCTATTATATCCAACATATGAGCAGGGCAGGGACATGGTCATATGGATGCCACCCTTAAAAGTTCAAGAATGAAGAGCATATATCGTGACTTTACTCCCCTCAAAGAAACCACCACAAATCAATACCAGGTAATGGAGGAGATGAAGAAAATGCAGTAGATTCATTAGATAATACGCTCAACGATGATCCGAAAAAGAATTAGCACTCAACTTTCCAAATCCCCTAAAAAAAACTGAAGGAAACTGAAAAGGATCAATCACATGCATAGAACTAGGTTCTTCGCTAAAGTGACCCCTTTCCTGCTGCAGATAACTATTTAGCTCTCCTTTTCATCCCAGAAAAGCGCTGCCTCCATTTATTCCCAGCAAAGATAGTGGACCAAAGATTTCCTTGGGCGGTTCTCATGAATAATCCAGCTACATCCAGAACAAAAATAAGCTTGTCTTAGAAAGTACAAGAAGCCAATGCAGAACTAATCTTGTCTCTGTTAATCTGTTCACCCAACAATTCTCATGTTCAACAAAGACATCAATCAGTTCCTCCAGAGACAAATTTCTTGTGTCAGCAGTGAAAGATATAATGTCCTGAGCATAAGAACTCTAGGGTACCTATAGGTGAAATAAAATCCAGGAGCAGTAGAAACAACACACAAACTAATATTACCATCTGTTTTTGCAGTGGTCAAATACATGTGCAAATATGATACTACCAACATGGTGAACTGCACCTTTCTTTCCAGAAAAATGCACATTTAGTTTCAAAGCCTAAGATGTTGATGACAAGGGAGTTCCCATTAACTGGATAAGATTAAGACTCATTATGGTCTTGATATTTGTCTGCCAATCCACACTACCAATGTCAATAAATCTGTAATTGCAGAGGAACAAATTGTTTGAACAATAGGTAACCAACTCAGAGAGGCATAACAACATATTCAATGCAAAGAGATCTGCAAGTTCAAGCGTCTTTAACTGCTGCTATTTGGCTTACTGAATCATGACCAGCATATGACCAAATCATCTTTTTCCCCATGAATACTGGATATTCAGAGTCTTTTCAAGAACTATGTCATTCTTGGAAGAAACACTACATTAAGTACAAAAAGTAAGAAGACTGAAGTTCATATTACCAAAAGCAGATATTTAATTGCTTACCTCTCCACAATTCTTTAAAACAAGTTGCAAATATAGAATTGAACCATAATCCTTCCCTAACTTATCAGAATGTTCAGAAAGACTTGCATAAGCCTCTTCTGGTATAGCAACTTTCCTTGCAATATCATCATACCAATTTAATAATTGACCGCATTACATAAAGAAACCACTAGTCTGTTACAAGTCCTTGATAGTAGCAACAGAAACCACCAGTTATCAAGGATCAAGGCCCTGCTCTTATCTGCTTTAGAAGTTCAATTCAACAATTAAAACATCATTTTCCTACCAGCAAACAACCCTATGAATCTGGAAATTCCAACTACAATAAAGAAAAGGACAAAGAAAACAAAGAAGTTAGTCTAAACTGATAAATCTGCACAATCACCAAATCCAATTGAAACTTTGCAGTCACATAAAGATGGAGCTCACATCATACCTTCCAAATATTGAATCTGAAGCTTACCTTCTGTAACAAGAACATGAATCCTGTCACTCTGCCTGGAAAAGATTACTCCCACAGTGCAAGGTGCACACAACATAACACCAACCATTAATTCGTATCATCTTTGCGTGAGTGGTCCAAAATCCCAGAAATGACACATACCAAATCTTCTTTTCTAGACCTCAATCTCAAATCAAAATTCTTTCTTTTACGGTTTAAAATACACACACACACACACACACACACACACACATACATACATACATACACTCTTTGATGAACTTTGATTAGTCTGTTAAAATTTGGTATCAAAAGGAATTGTAATTTGGAAAATACTTTACATACTGTCGCATCAGGAAAGAAATTTAAAGAAGCTTGATAAACTTTGATTAGTCCGTTAAAAATCCGAAGGATTGGAACTTTCTCACAAACGAGAAAATCCATGGACAAACAAACTTAAAACATGACCTAAAATGAATCACAACCAACTGTTAAAATTTATGATAACTTTAAAAATACCTGAACACTTCAATAAATCAAACTTCTTGACAAGAATTTCTCGTTTAAATTAAAGGGTCATCAATTAAATTCCAAATAAACATGACATGTAAATAAGTAACAAGAAATTTCAAGAAACGACAAAATAAAAGGCTGGTTTTTGGAGAAATTAATGAAGGGAAATCAACTTATCTTGCAGGGCTAATTGGGAGAACAAGATTTGAAGGTGAAGGTGGGGAATCAGAGGACCACTGCACGCAAAAATGATAAGAGTTAGCTGCTTGGAAGTGTGAAACCCCTTTGCACTTTCAAAGTCAAAGCTCCAGACTTGTAGCCAAATGCCCAATTTTTCTTTCTTCCCAGCTGCATATAATATTTATACAAGGAGAAAGGCTGCGTTCCACCTAACCCAACTGGTGTAAGCCAATGTTAACATGAAATAAAATTGGAATTCATTATGGTGATTCTGTCCATATCTGCAGACTTTGGAGAATTTTTCTTGTGACTGCTAAAAAGGAAGAATCTTGATTATCAAAATTTTGCCTTGGTCTTGAAGGCGGTGATATTATTCTCACGCCTTGTGGGGATAAGGGTATACCTTTTTTTTTTTTTTTTTTTTTTTTAACGATGGGGGTTTAGGTTGGTTTAGGGTTGATGCTGGATCGAGTAACTTGACTCGAGCTTGCAAGCTACTCGGTCAATAGTTTAGCTCGAGCTCGTTTTAATCGAGTTTGAGTTCGAGCTTGAGCTGCTTGATAGAAGCAGCGAGTCGAGCTCGAGTTTTAATATTTTGCACTCGAAAGCTTGACAAGCCTAATCGAGTTTTTTAAAATATATATTTTTATTTTTATTTTTGTGAAATATTAATAATATCCTTATTTAAAATTATATGTAAAATATTAATTTTTATTACATGCGCTTGATTAGACTTGATTGAGCTCGAAATAGGCTCGATTAAGTTTGATTTGAATTGATTAGATTTAATTAAACTCGAACTCGAGTTCGAGCTCAAGTAACGTAAATTAACGTCGAATTCGAACTCGAACTCGAATTCTAAAAGCTCGACGAGCTCGAACTCGATCTTGAGCTTAGTTATTTTACCTGCACTACTCGAGCTCGACTCGACTCGAACGCACCCCTAGGTTGGTTAATCATAAATACCAATATTTGTATAATTTGGATGAAGTCTATACTTTTTCATAGTATTTGTATATTTTGGAGCAAGTCTACGCTTTCACCGGAGAGAGACTCTCATGCATGCGATGCTATTTGGTGAAAAATTATACTCCCTCCATCCCACGTATTTAGTCCTATTTCAGAATTCACGCTTTTTTTTCAATAGTACAATATGCATTTGATGCTATTTGGCGAAAAATTGTACACCCTCCGTCCCACACATTTAGTCTTGTTTCGAGACTCACGTTTATTTTAATAGTACAACAATATCAAATGAATTTGGTGTTAGTTTCAGAAATACCCTACTTAAATTTTTATACATTAACACGTGTTGTATTGAAGAAAAATAATAGAGCGGTAGAAAGATATGTGAGACCCAAACTTTAAGAATATTATCACATTATTTTTTAGAAAAGCATCATGCATGACTCTTGTGTGCATTTAATGTGAGGCTTACGTTCCACCAAATGCAATCTCTGTACTAGATTAGTGCATTTTTAGGCCCGCCAAAAAATTAAAATAGTAAGTTATATTTAAGGGCATCAAGATGGTAATAGGGAAAAGTTTTTTTTTTAATCAATTTTAGTAAGTGATAATAATTCTGTAACAGATTATGAAGAAAAGTACGACTTTTTCAGTGAAACGAAGAGAGTAGTCAATTTTTTCACATAAGGGTGACAAATTTGGAGAGAAGTTTAAATTGTGTGCTCCAGAAGTTTAAATTTGGAGAGATGGAGTAAACAATTGGTAAAAGATTTAGCATTAATTACACATAACCCCTTATTGGTAAGGTATCTAGGCTTTAAATATTTAATTAATGGGACACGTATTAGCGCAAGTCAGTGGTATAGAAGACACACATATTAACCTATTCCAGTGACGTAAAAGAAAATGTAACACCAAAAATGTAGTAGCAGAAGATTCAAATGCATTTAAAAATATACTGCATGCCATGAAAGGTTTCTATTTGTGGGCACTTGTTATTAGAAATTTCTTAGTATTATTGATACCTATGTGAAATACCTTGCTTTTGTGAGCTAAATTATTAGGTCTCCCAAACGACATTGTAAAAATTATTATATAGCCTATTCTGTGACTTCCCATGAGAAAATAAGGCCAGAGAAAAGTTTAATTCGAATAGCTTTTAGGATGAACAATGTAATTTTATAGCCACATAATTATAGCTTAAATTTTTTAGATCTTTCAAAATCATATCCAGTTTGACAATGTATCCAAAAGTAACGTGATGGACATATAAACAGAATTATATCTATGTTTATTTGCAATTAAAGTATTTTTGTAATTATTTAGAATCATGTAAAGAGTAAACATGAGGTTGTAATTATAGAATACTCTATATCACACACCAAAAAAGTACAAACCATGAAGTTTCAACTTAGTTTTCATGAAAAATAAAATAAAATTTATTTCGCTCACATTTTAATTCCATCTTTTGCATCTATCACAATTTCCATGTTGTATTTTAGTTAATTGTTAATTCAAAACTTGTTTGAACTTTCATTATATTAGAGTTCTATCGTAATTACCATTCAATGGTGCAAAATGGGAGTCACAAATATTAATATTGAAGCCTTATTTTCCTTTTTTTTTTTTTTTTTGATGCATTTCGTTTGCATGAAAGTCGAATGAATAGCTAAACAAAATTCACTCACACTTTATTCGTAAATCTTTGGTATTTTAGACGATTTTAGGCACTTGTATAGTTTTATTACTACCTATAAATTGCAATTTCTCTATAACTTCTTTTATTATAATATGTTAAGCTATATAAATTTAATTCATTTTTTTACAGGCAAAGATGATTTTTTTTGTCCAAAAATTAGTAGTGGTTGCCTAATGTTTACATTAAACACTAACAACCACATCCTATTCTTATCAAAATCTTTTATTAGTTTTTTCAACTTTGCTCTATCACTTTCTAGTATTGCTTTGTTACCATTATCTTGCTAGATGCTCTATCTCCAATTATACATGCAATGATTGTATATTTATGCTTATGAAACGCTATATAATCTATCTTTTGCATGTAATGGAGTATACCACGTTACTACATTACATATTTATATTCGAAACATTCATATATTAGAGATAGAAAAATAAAAATAAGGGATCACTAAAAATAAAAAATTTCTTTGTAAAATCTAATATTGGGATATTCTACAAAATGTATTCAAGCTTTGTATCTTAGTTTCCAATGCTCAAAAGTTGATGTTAAATTAACATTTTGATGCCATTCTTTGTTGAGAGTATCTTAGAATAGGATATATAGGTCACTTGCATAAAATATGTTATCCTCTTTCAATTGTACATACGAGTATTTCTTTTACTAAAATAGAAAGAAAATAATTATGTGGTCCTGCAAATTTCTTAATATTTATGAGGTATATTAAGCTGATGTCCACTCTTGATTTGCTTTTTATAATAAAAAAATCATGTATATCTAATATCAAAAATTAAAATATGGTCTTTGAAACAACAGATCTTATTTTTCCAACTCTTTCAAATTGCTTATTTGATGAATGTGTAAAATATATGCATATATGATAAGTAGAGAAAACCAGTATAACAATGAAGTTATGATTCTTACTACGCTCATGAAATGAAGTGGATTAGACATCATTCAAGTGTAGAATTAACAAGATAAACTAGATTCACTTTGTGTGATTATGGAAGAGGTACTTATTTAACTTTCAATTTTAATGACATTTACTTTGTAGTTTATTCATTTTTGTATTTATCAGCTAATTTCACACTACATGTTGTTTATGCACTTGCTATCACCCTTGTCCAAAACCAAAGCTTTGTTTTTCGGAATCAATAGCAATATTTTTAAATTTATAAAAATTTCAAATATCCTACTTTGAATAATAGAAACTGTTAGAATAATGTTAATGGAGACTTAAAGATTTTACACAATAAGTTTGATTCAACCTAATTTTGTGCATTAAACAAAAACATTTAAGAAGCTTAAATTGGACTACAAAATGATGTAATAATTATATGATCAATGACGAACAAGGTATAGAAGTGATCTAATATTAGAATTTAATTTTGTAACAATGATCAAGAACTTAAACGTCACTTTTAATTGGTCTTGAAATATAAACAAACAAAACACTCGAAGAATGAATATCCTTTCTGTGAACTTGCATTTAAAAGAAACAAAATATCGACTTGTTCTTTATTTTTATTTATTCTTTTCTTACTTTTATTCGTAATATTTTTGTAAAATGTAACATTACTAAATATTTAGTTTATCACCTATTAGACACATAAAATTTGAAAGGCATTGATCATGCACTGTATTATAACAAATACAAATCATATAAAATAGGTACCTATACATATAGAATATTGATTGTTTAAACGCAAAAGATGTGGACATCTCTTTAAAGGTAAGAGTTGACAAAAAACCATAGCTTATAGACTTTCTATTTTTAATTCTATGCAAATATAAAATGACTATAGCTATTTTATATCGATTATTTGTCTAACATAGAGTAATGGTCTATCTTAATTTCAAATCATACCTTAACATGAGAAAATAAAAAGTATGAATTTAGGAAAATAATTTATTAATTTTTTATTATATTACAAATTCTTTATTATCATTATCATTATTATTATTATTATCACCACCATTATTATTATTATTGTTATAAATTAATAAACTTAATATGTCTAATTTTCATATTTTATTAACAATTAATGATCTATTTGTTCTTTTCTTAATGATATAAAATAATACTAGTAAAGAATCATAAAAATAAGTTTCAACACGAATTGTTATTCACTTTTCATTTCTAAATAGCTATTTCTATAAATTACAATAAAAATTTTACAACATATAGTTTCTAAAAGAATAATTAAAATTTGAAATAAATTCCTAAAATACAAACTATTATTTGAACATTTTGTTTCTTCTACTTGAGCTATTGATCCACAGACTAAAATGATTATCTTAAAAAGTCATATAAGAAGTTTGAATTTTGATGAAAAGAGATATTTATGTTTCATCTACATATGAATCTATCATCAAAAGATTTTATGAATCACATATTTACAAAGCACATGAGTTTTCAAGAAATGTGGCTTTAATAGTAAAAACAGACCACTACTTCTATATCAAACACTAAAAATGAAATTCTTAGAACGAAACATGTCTTAAAATCGATCAAACAGCTTGATAAGTTTAAATGAAACGAAATATAGTATCTAAATAGTTTTCTCATTATAGAGAGTTCATAAAAAGTTCAAGACAAATCAAGCCTTATCAAAACTAATTAAACCTAGCTGTTTGATTTGACCAATTGATACGCCTTTC